CATACGTGGGATACGATGTCGTTTCCGTAAGACCGCGGAATTTTACGCACTCTTTAAAACGAAGTCAATGTTGTGTTTGATAGTGGATTCAAGAACTTTGTACTTTCTTTTTCATTAATAATTATTATTTTTTAGTTAGATACGTGTTTCCAAATTGGGATAGGTAACTTGATTAAGTAATAATATAAAAAGAAATAAATAATTTATCACATAACCAAATCCACCATTAGATTATTTAAAATAATAATAATAATAATAACTAGTATTTAACATGTAAAACTTTTATTAGAAGAAAAATATTATTAAGAAACCACATTAAATTTGTAATTATTTTGTTTTTAAATAACCATTTAAGAGCTTTATTTAGTAGCTAGATATGCTAAATAAGTGGGGTTGGGTTTTATCATATTATGTGTAAATGCAATATTTGTTAATGAAGACTTGGGCAATGTCTCGCTCTTTCCCCTATTGAGATTATTTAATTAATTTATTTTGTTATAATTATTAAATATATAATCTATATTTTTTTTTTATTTTGGACAATTAATTTAATTATTTAAAAGTTGGTCAGCGTTTACATGTGCCCCAATTCCCTAGTTGACCTCCCTGAGGCGGCTTCCTTCCACCTCTTTATTGTCACATGGCCTCATGCCCACTTGGACTTTTATTTGAGAGTCCGGTTTAGTTTGTACTTCCTATATTGTCCTTTTTTTTTTTTAAATATAAATAAGTGTATTTTTTATTAAATTTAAATGTTTTTATGAAATTATTGTTTAAACACAAAAAAAAATTTATATACTAACTATTAGCTTTTTAATTAAAAAGTTTGTTATCATAATATAAAGTCAAGTATTTTCAAAATACAATTTAACCAAATAAAAAATTATTATTTAATTTGTTTTCCTATGTTGTATTATTTTTCTTGACAGTAATATATTATTAATTACGTAATAAGTCGTAAGATGGGAATTAAAGAATATATATTAGTTTATCAAGTATAGTATTTGTTATGATTAAAAAATATAACATCGAATATTTTGAAAAGAAAAGGCAATTAATTAACATATTTAAGTACATATTACTTGAAACTATATTATCTAACTTCGAATTATAATATTAATTGAAAGAATTAATTTTCTTTTTTTAAAAATTATTTAGAAAAATTTACCAAACTCACATAATTTGTTAGAAAATTGAATTTGAATTCATCATGAAATCACAAGGAATTTGATTAACTAATTAGAATTTTGAAACCATGGAAGAAGACTTTATAGAGAATAAAAAGGGTAAAGAGAAACAAGACTTCAGGTTGAGAGAAAAAAAAAATGAAAGCTTGTGTTTCTCATTAACTAACTTTCGGTATTTATACACACAAGATTAGTTAATTTAATCCTCTGACTAATTATAGACTAATTACAATTAGATTCCAACTACAGTTAACTCATTAAACCAACTATCTAACTTAGTTATCTCTAATAGTCTCTTTCAAGGTGGAGTATGCAAGTCTTTTATACCGAGCTAGCTGATAAGAATTAGAAGTGTTTTTTTAAATCAATCTACCAATTGGTGAATTGATGAAATGGGTAAAAGATGAATTAGTCCATCAATTTTTTGTCTAATAACATGGCAATCAATTTTTATATGCTTGGTATGCGTGCAAAATATACGATTTTCAACAATCTTGATTAGCTAAGAGATTGTTAAAATAAAGACCAATGGTTGAAGTAAGGAGCGGTAGGTCAGTGCATGTAACCATTATACTTAGTAGGTGACTACTGTAAATGTTCAGTATTTTGGTTCTGATGATGACTAAGAGATGGTTCGTTGCTTATTTAACTTTCATAATATAAGAGCATCATCTCATAAAACAGAAAATTCAGTTATTGATTTGTAAAAATCATGACAAGTTACTCAATCAGAATTACTAAATAAATATTTTTTAGAATGATAGATTGCTCTCTATCTAGGCGTGTCTTCAAGATATCTTAAGATACGATGTGCAGCCCGTAGATGTTGTTGTATTGGTGAGTCTAGAAATTGAGAAAGTTCTTATATTGTATAGCAAATATATGGTCTTGCACTTGTAAGGTATATAAGTTTACCAATCAATTGTCGATAAGCTGTTGAATCTACAGGTTATGTACTATCTATTTAAGTTAGCCTGACAGAGGACACCATAGGTGTAGGAGCATTTACACCTTAAAGAGATCAGTTATGTATTTCCTTTGATAAATATTGACTCTTTGTTGTGGATGTGTTACCTCTAAGCTCAAGAAAAATTTTAGTGTGCCAAGATATTTTATTTTGAATATATTGTATAAAAAATCATAGATTAATTATATTTGAGGCATGTTATTACTAGCTATTGAATTTAATCAGGGGGTTCACCCGCGATGGGACTCGACCCAGTTAAAATTACCTACTTAGTTGAAAATTTAAAATTAAAATTGTGGCTAGTTACACATCCAAGTAAAGTTACCCATTTAGTCATCTGTAAAAAAAAAAGGAAATAGAAGAATAAAAAAACCTAGAGAGAATAAACTCTCTCTCTCTCTCTCTCTCAAAGTTCTGCTTCTGTAAAGAAGAAAAATGAACTTTTTTATTAATTTTTCTTCAAAATTTTAGGTTTCTATAAGAGATATTTATATCGTGAATATTTATATACAGTTCGTTATGTATTAATGTAATTATATGTGTTAATATGCACATTGATCTTGAAAAATTAGTTACATAATGGATTTAAGGATTATATATTAATTTTATGAATTTCTAACATTGGTATCATAGTATTTTAGTTAATTGCATGTTTAATTTTTATTCTAATTTGTATTTTTATTAAATTTTTGAATAAAAGCTGTTTTTTGCTTTTGTGATAAAATAATTTTATATTTTATTACTCAAATATGTATAATATTGGTCTTAAACAAAAGTGTCAAGAGCTTTAATTTGACATATTATTTGTAATTTTTGAAAAAAAAAATGAGATAATTATGCATTTTTTAGAGTCAATCTTGTTTAGAAAAAAAAAAAAGTTGTGTCAATAAACATTCTGCATATTTCTTCTTTTACCCGTACAGATGTTAAAAATTGGGACATTTTAATTTTTTAGTCTTTTTTTTATAAAAAAATATGTTTTAGACCACCAGGGGGCTCAAACTTGCAACCACAATGTGAAACGTTTTGTGCTCCACCAATTGAACTAGACAAATTTTACAAGATAATTGGAAGTAAAGCAAAAAAAATATAATTGAAAGCAAAATTAATGTGGGTGGCAAAATTTGAACATTTGTGTGCAAAGCCCGCATGATTTCTAGACATGCTAGATAATCACTCTGACACACCTACTATTGTATAAGACAGTATATGAAAACTTAATTTTTTATCCTCTGATCAGTATAATAAAATAGGTCTTATTATATAAATTAATTTTTAGTTAATTAATTTATCATACATGAATAAATTAATTATTAGTAAATTAATTTATTATGATAGTCACTTTGAATATTTTAATTATTAGTTAATTAATTGTGTCATATTTGAAAAAATTAATTATTAGTTGATTAATTTATTATAATAACTATTTTAAATGAATTAATTATTAGTTAATTAACTTATAAAGATAGTTTATTAATATGTTTTTTATTTTCTGTATGTGTTACAGAAAATCAATAGTGATAATAATAAGAACTACTATGACAAATTAAGACTCTTTAACAGAGATAGAAAGTTAATCGTATAATATAAGACTTAAAAATACTCATATGGAAGATATTTGAAGACAAACCGAAGTTTGAATTTTTAGTGAACCATATAATTAAAGTCAATGTAAGGTTCAAAAAATTGTGTGAAAATGA